AGGTGAGGCCCGAACGGTCCGGGATGGGCCAGGACCGGCCGCGGTGATTTAGGACTTTGGCTGGAGGCACGGTGATGAAGGCGGGCGCCCGACTTTTCTCTCAGCCTGCGACTTCTCACTCCGAGGATGAGTCCCACGTCTGGGTTAGATGCTGCCTGGCCATTAAGGCGTCCTGGCACCGACTCACTGCACGGTGCTGGGATGGCGGCAACCCTCGGTGGAGTAAATGGGCAGGGGTTTCGACCACTCCTCTCGCTCTCCGCTGGGCGGCGTGGGTCATCTGAGCCCCCGCTGGGGCAGCCTGTGCCCCCAGAGAGAAGCAGAGGATTTGCCTGTCCAAGGTTCAAAATTCCCCTTTCACATGGCATGGCGAGGTATCCAGGGCTCCAGCTGCACGGTAGTCCTGGTCCTGCGGGTCACCCCAAGCGTAGGTGGTGAGCAGAGGGCAGAGCAGACAGGACCAGGACCAGGGACTGCAGGAGCTTGGGAAGTGACAGGGGACTAGGTCCACAAGCACCCTTACCACTGCCTCTCCTATTTGCAGGCCATGGATGAGCCGGGAATGAGCCTTCTGGACCAGTCTGTGATCAAGAAAGGTAAGGAACAGCGTGCACCTGCCAGGGCAGAACTGGGCCCCCCACCCCATTCCCCGGGGTGGAGACCCATTTCCTTCCCCGTGGAGTTTGCCTCCTATGTGTCGCTGGGTTCAATGGCCAGCGGACCCTCTTACTAGTCCATTAGGGGGGCAGCAAAGGCTGGGGTTCTGGCCAGAGCCTGGGCAGCTGGGCAGGTTGGCATGTTGGCCCCAGAGCCTGCAGCCTGGGGTGGGCTGGGCCTATCTTGCTCACTCTGCTCCCCAGGCCACCCATGCCCCACAAAGGGGCTTGGCCTCTTCCTATGAAGGGGAGGGCACTTTGGATCTGGAGTTAATTTGCAGAACAAGTTAAACTACTTTCCTGTTTCCTAAGAGGTGGGAATGGGAATGCCATTCCCATGGATTTCATTAAATTATTTCCTCATTACAGAGCCTTACCATTTCCTAGCCTGGCAAGCTTTCCTGTCCAGCAGGGCCTTGGGGTCGATTAGGGGGTGGGAGAAACTCGAGTTTCCCTGAAGAGTCTTCTCTTCTTTCAGGAGCCTCTTTACACATTTAGAGTTATATGAGTTGGTGTGTGAATATCGTCAGTTAGTCTGAGTGCAGGAGGGCCAAGGCCTGCCTGCTCCTGGATGTGAGTTCAGGGTCCGGTACATGTCTATATGTTTCTTTCCTAGGTGTCTTTCTGGTATTTCTTGGTGTGTAACTGTGACTGTTGCTAAGTGTGTGATGTGTGCCTACTAGGTTAGTGTATATTTCTGAGTGTTTGGGGGTCTCTATGTGTGTATCAAGGTCTTTGTTGTGTCCTGGAATTTGTTTGTTTGTTTGTTTTTGGTGCTGAGGATCTCTAAGCATGTGAGGATCACTCCCTGTATGTTTTGGTGGGGGTTTGTGTCTCTGCACTGGTAAAAGTCAGGGGTTTGAGACATGCCCTCCAGTGCATTTTCCTGCTTGGGGGACCAGGTTCTGGACGTGCCAGGAAAAGGTGAGAAAGAGAGAGAAAGAGACAGAGAGTCAGAGGGGTACAGGCTTTGGGTGGGCTCCTTAGATTTGGGGTGGGTGTCCTGGGAGGAATTCTATGAAGCCTGCAGTGCCTGGGGCAGGTGCTGCTCCTGTGGGATTTGGCTCCAGTTGTTTTTCAAAAGAAAGAATTCAACCCCAGGCTTGCTTTGCCCTCCCGTGTTGGGGGCTGGAGTGGGATTGGGGGCTGGGGGCTGGACTTCCAGGAGTTGGGGCTGGGTTACCAGGGGCTGGGAGTTAGTTGGACAACCTAGAGTATGGAGGGTGAGGGGGTGGGGGAGGGAAGATGAAGGGACGGGCTTCCTGGAACTTAGGTGGAGAGGACCCCGGGAACCCCCGCTTCCTGGAGCAGGAGCTGAGGTCGCAGGCGCTGCGTTGGTTTAGTGGACTTTTTGGAACCCGTGGGAAGTAAGAGCTCGGTCTGCAGTTGGCAAGAAGAGCCTGTCGCTGGGCCCCCAGTTCCCGACTTCTGCCCAGGCTGGAGAGCCTGGGGGGATGGGGCTAGGCACACTGACTCCCTCGGGGAGGCCAGCCCCCCGCGTTTTGGGAAGGAACTCGGGATCCTCTGCCCTGGGGAAGGGTAGAAGGATCAGCTGGGGCTCTGAGTACCTTAAACCCCAATCCACAAGCAGGTCAAGGAAACTGGCTGCAAGGAGGAACTGGAATTGCCCCGAGTTGGTTTCTCTCAAAGGACATCAGCTGCCATAAATTGCGGGTCCTTGGTGTGCGCCGGAATCCCCGACGGCGGTCCTAAGACCGCAGTGAGTGCGACCGGATTGTCCAGAGGGGCTGCCCGCTGGGCCTCGCGGGGAAGATGTGGGCGCTGGTGCCGCGCCAGACGTCGGGGCCGGGGGCGCGCACACCCGCCGCACCGCAGTGCCAGCCTGTCGGTGGGAGAGCGCAGCGAGGTGGAGCGCGGCGACCTGAGCGCCCCACTCCGGACGACGGGTCACACGGCCGGGAGCGCTGCAGCATAGGGAGGGGGGTGAGAGCCGGGGACCCCTGCGGAGGGGAGGGCCCGGTTCCGTAGCCGCGAGCTTGGCCTTGGGCCCGCGCGCCGCGCCTTTGGGGAGGAGAGAGGGTCAGTGCCGGCGCTTTCGAGCTTTGCAAAAGCCGAGGCAGAGCTGGTCCCGGAGGTCCTGACCTAAGCGGCTGCCTAGGCAGGTGACGTTGCGGAGCCCCTGTGGCTAAGCAGGCGGCCGGGCTTAGAGCCCTGCGCGCAGCGGGCACTTTTCGCCAGGGACTTCCGCTGTCGCTGCGGGACTCCGGGGTGGGGGGTGGGGGGGTGGGCGTGGATTTGCGCCCTTCTTCGCCCTCAGGCCCTACCGATGACATCGGGAGCCCCTGTAATATCGTGAAGACCTCTGACACCCGCCGCGGGTGGTGGGGGCCCACCGGCCTGCCTGGGCCCTGGAATTATAGAAAGTCATTCTTGGCTGGCTGACGCATCAGATTCCTCCAGCTCCTCCCGGCCCTGGAGGGAGCGGCAGCTGTGTCGCGGGCAGTTGAGATCCTGGGTGCGAAACGGAGGCAACCCCAGCCCTACCCCAGAAGCAGCCTTCCAACCACAGGGTTTCGCCGGGTAGGGGAGCCTGGAAGCTCCCGAGAGCCCAGACCCTGGTTGTAAAACTTTCGCTACTCTAGGTACTTGTCCTGGAGGGGAGGGAAGCGAAGCCTCCGCCCCCATCACACACTTCCCGGTCTGCTGCCCCTTGCAGCCAGGGTGTGGGTCCGGGGGTGGCAGACGGAGCCGAGGCCGACCCAAGGAGAAGCGAAGAGCCCTCCATTTTCTGCCCATGTTTGTCACCTACAGTATTGCAATCTTTCCTAGGGGCACAGAAAGCAGGCGGGACTGGTGGGGGAGACAGACCTGGATGGGAACATTCTCTAGCGGAGAAAGGTAGTGAGGGGGATCTCTACTGGTGGCTTGGGAGCTTAGAGGAGGAGCACTGAGTGTCTGAGGCTGGGGGGCTTCCTACAGGAGAGGTTAGGATGGGTCTCCCTAGGTGCATGCGTGTTTGTTGAATGAATGAGCGATGGGTTTTGAAGTCTGAGTGCATTGGGAGAGAGGGTGTACAAAGGGCTATGATATTTTCACCACACTAGGCACAGCATGTGCAAATGCCCTCCACTGTGGAAAAAGCCAGACAGGTTAAAAAGGTTGAAATCTGCGGGGTTTCTACAGCCACAGCTGGAGGGGAGTGGTTAAAATGAGAATTAAGATAAATACCTCCTCCCCACCAGGAGAGTGGGTGGTTGCCTAGTTGAGGGTGGGCTCTGTGGTCCAATCTCTCTCAGGGTCTCCAGGGCAGGGGCTGAGGTAAATAGCCACCCTCTCCTCTGCTCTCCTTGGCTCTTGGGAAGGAAAGGGAGGGGGAGGGTCTGGACTTCCAAGTGCATCTCTACAGGGCCAGGCCTAGGGTGAGGTAAGTGAACTGCTCACCTCTGAGGCAAGGTGTAGATAAATAATATATCTCAATGCAATAATTTAAAATAAGAGGTATTGCCAAAAATCCATGATAAACAAAAATCCGAGTTTTGCATAAAGACAGGATCTGATCTGGCACTTCTGCATTCCTGCCTCACTCGCCTTCCAGGCCTCTGCCCCAGAAAGAGACTGAAAAACCAGTGCCCATGCAGACAGAGTTTGGATGGTAGCTGAGGGCCACATGGGACAGGGGAGTGAAGGTTAGCCCGAAGGAAACAGCCACCCAGGGGAGATGAGGAGGCTCCGGTGGGCTGGGAGGGGTGTCGATACCCCTCCTGTCTACCTTTCTCCAGCTGCACCCCACTGCCATGGGGACCAGTATACCCTAAGTGTGGGCTAAGGAGCCACATACATCAGAATCTCTTGGAGATGCTTATTTAAAAATGCAGATTTCCGGGGCGGCTGGGTGGCTCCGTGGGTTAAGCAGTTAAGCATCCATCTTTGGCTCAGGTCATGATCTCACAGTTTGTGAGTTCAAGCCCCCGCATCGGGCTCTGTGCCGACAGCTCGGAGCCTGGAGCCTGTTTCAGATTCTGTGTCTCCCTCTCTCCCTGCCCCTCCCCTGCTTGCAGTCTGTCTCTCTCAAAAATAAACAAACATTAAAAAAAATTTTAAATGCAGATTTCCTGGGCACCACTCCACACCTATTTGAGTGAGAGTCTGTGGAAGTGTGGCCCTGGAACTTGCATTTTTTAACAGATTTGTTGAAGTAAAACTTACATACCTAAAACTCACCCATTTAAGAGTAAAATTTGATGATTTTTAGTAAATTTATGGACTTGTGTAGCCATTATCACAATCTGCCTTTTTTTTTTAAGTTCATTTATTTGAGAGAGAGAGAGAGAGAGAGAGAGAGAGAGAGAGAGAATGCTAGTGGGAAAGGGGCAGAGAGAGGGGGACAGAGAAGATCTGAAGTGGACTCTGCACTGACAGCAAGGAGCCTGATGTGGGGCTTGAACTCACCATCCAAACTGTAAGATCATCTTGACTTGAGCCCAAGTCAAGAGTCAGAGGCTCAACAAACTTAGCTACCCAGGTGGCCCCACAATCCATCTTAAGACATTTCCATCACCCTCCCCAAAATTCCCTCATTCCCGTTTGTAGTTAATTCTTATTCTCACCTCAAGCCTTAGGCAACCACTGATCTTTCTTTCTATAAATTTCCCTATCCTGGACATGATATATCAAAGGAATATATAAATATGCAAACGGTGCATCAAGCTTCTTTTACTAAACATAATGTTTTTGAGGTTCATCCGTGTCATAGCAGGTGAGAGTAGTTGAGAGTAGTTGGTTTCTTCTCGCGTTGCTGAGCTGTACTCCATTGCACGGAGGAAACACATTTCATGTATCCATTCATCAGTTGACACTTGGATTGGTTCCACTTTTTGGCTACTATGAATAATGCTGCTGTGATCATTCATATGCATGTCTTTGTGTGGACATATGTTTTCATCCCTCTTAGGTAAATTCCTAGGAATGAAATTGCTGGA